TGGGCTGGGATGGGGGGGTTGAGGGGGGATTGAATGGTCTGAGGGGGCAGTGGGGAAGGGGTCTGAGCTGAGGGGGTGAGGGCTGGGGATGTCGGCCAACTCTTCCCAGGCCCCACCCCCAGCTCTGGGTGGTCTGAGGGTGCTGGGGAGCTCTGAGGGGGCAGTGGGTGGTCAGATGGGGTGGAAGAGGGAGCACCCCCCCTAAATTGCCTCCCTCTTCCCCCCCAACAGAAGAAGGCACTGATGGCTCTGAAGAAGCAGCAGAACTCAACCAGCCAGGCCAGCCAAGGCGGCATCAAGCGCTGTGAGCTGGACGCCTGGGTTCCCTGTGGGAAGGGGAGTGCTGGGAGCCCCAGACACCTGGGTTCCTTCCTCAGAGAGCAAAGGAGTTTAGGAGTTTGGAGCCAGAGGGGGGGGGGTGCTGCCCACCTGGACATCTGGGTTCCCTGCTGGCAGGGCAGTGAGTCTTGGGTTAGCTCACATCCTGAACTCCTGGGACTAAGAGGGCAGGCAGGCGTTGTAAGTTGGCTAATGCCCTGGACACCAAGGTTCTTTACCTGGGGATCTGAATGGCGCTGGCATCCAGCTGCCTGGGTGCCTTACTGGAGACCCATGGATCTGAGTGGGGCTTACCCCCCAGACACCTGGGATTTTTACTGGGAAACCCATGGATCTGAATGGGGTTGGCACTCCCAGATGCCTGGGTTCCCTGCTGGGAGGGCAGCGAGGCCTAGCGGGTTGGCTGACATCCCCAGACTCCTGGGTTCCCTGCCACAAGGGTCATGGGGCTTTGGCAGGGCTGTGCCGGAAGCTCAGATGCCTAGGTCCCATTCCACCTCCACCCCTCCCCACTCCTGGCAGCCATCTCAGACCAGCCGGCAGTGGACACAGCCACAGCCACTGAACAGGCCAAGATGTTGGTGAAGACCGGAGCCATCAGCGCTATCAAGGCCGAGAACAAGAACTCGGGCTTCAAGCGCTCCCGCACCCTGGAGGGCAAACTCAAGGTCAGGGAGCAGGTCCTGGGCCCAGGACGGGGCAGAACATCAGGGGGTGGGGCCTGGGCACCCAGGGGTGGGGCCAGCCCAGGCCCTGCCCCTCATTGCCACACCTCCCTGTAGGACCCAGAGAAGGGCCCAGCCCCGACGTTCCAGCCTTTCCAGCGCAGCATCTCGGCTGACGATGACTCACAAGAGGTAGCTGGATGCCTGGGTTCTCCAGAGGAGGGTGGCGGGAGCAGCAGGGCTTGGGAGCCCAGATGCCTGGGTTCTCGCAGCCCTGAGTAACTGCCCTCGTCTGCCTTCCCTTTGCTGTAGTCCCGGCGCCCCCAGAGGAAGTCGCTCTATGACAGGTGAGAGCAAAGCCCAGCATGACCCTGCCCCCTCCCAGGAGACTCCGCCCCCCAGGAGAGCCTCTAAACCTGCCCACTCACCTTGGGAGATTCTGCCTCCTCCACCCCTGTGAGGCTCCACCCCCAAAACCCCACCCTGACGCCACCCCATAGAGATTTCCCTCCCCTCCCCATGACCTTACTTCTTCCAGGAGACTCCACCCACCAGGGACCACCGCGGCTGCGGGAGAGCGAGGAGGACGGGCCCCGCGGGGGCGACAAGGACCCTGAGCGTGGCGAGGGGCCCCGCAGCGCCTATGACTGGGACCGTGGCCGGGACCGTGACCGTGATCGAGACCGGGATCGCGACCGCAGCCGCGACCGCAGCCGAGACCGGGACCGTGATCGTGACCGTGACCGTGACAGCAGCTTCCGCCGTATGGCTGTGCCCAGATGCCAGGGCTCTCTGGGAGGGGAGGGGGTGCCGGGGGTGAGAGCAGGGGGGCTGGGAGCTCGGATGTCTGGGTTTTCTCCCAGGTCTTAGATTGGGGCTTAATGGGTCTAGCTAGGGGGATCCCAGCATGGGCGACTGGTGGCGCTTTAGTCAGGGGGGGCACAAACCCCCCTGCAATCTGTCCCACTGACTGGGGGGGATCCCCCCCATGTCCGATCCCACTGGGAGTGGCTTCAGCTGCTTATGGGAGTGGCTGCAGCAATTTATCCAGTCCTTGCAGGGGGGGGCACTGTCACTCCTGCATGCCCCCCCCGCCCATTGCCTAAGTGGCGAGCATGGCTGGTCAGGGGGTGCACCAACACTCACAGGGGGTGCACATGCACCCCCTATGCATTGCCACTGGATCCTGGACACCTGGGTTCTCTAGGGAGTGGGGGTTGGGGGGTGAGAGCAGGGGAACTGGGAGCCCAGATGCCTGGGTTCTCTCCCAGTGTGGGGGTGGGATGGGAGGTGCCTGGGTTCTCCCTTGGTGGTGTGGGGGCAAGATGGGGCATCCCTGGATGCCTGGTTTCTGTAGGAGGGGAGTGGGGGATGGGGGGTAAGAGCAAGGGAGCTGGAGCACGAACACCTGGGTTCTCCCCTGGTGGTATGGGTGGTATAGGGACAAGATAAGCAGGTCCCCAGATGCCTGGGTTCTCCCTGGTACTTGTCGGGGCTGGGCACCCAGACACCTGGATTCCCTGACCCCCTCACACTCCTCCCCCCGCCCCAGGCTCAGACTCGTTCCCAGACCGGCGGGCTCCACGCAAGGGGAACACAGTTTACGTCTATGGGGCCGACATGACGCAGGCACTGCTGCGTTCTGCCTTCACCCCCTTTGGCACCATCATCGACATCTCTATGGACAACCCCCGCAAGTGGGCACTGATGGGGCAGAGGGCAGGGCTAAGGCTAGGCAGGGGAAGGGGCTGGGGTAGAGGGTAGAGGCTTGGGGAAGACCTGGGCAGGGCTATAAAGTGGGGGAGGCTGGGGTAGAGGGGGGGCTTGGGAAGTGGTGGGGCAGGTCTAAGGCTGCTGCTGGCTCAGTTTCCCTCCTTATCTAGCTGCGCCTTCGTTACTTATGAGAAGATGGAGTCAGCTGATCAGGCCATTGCTGAGGTAATGACCCCCGGCACGCGGCTGGCTCTGGCAGGGGGCAGGGTTGGGCGTAACGGGGACAGGAGCTGCAGCTGGTTCTGGGGAGCATTGGGTTTGGTGTAACGCTCTCTCTGGTTCCCCCCAGCTGAATGGAGCAGTGGTGGAGGACGTGCAGCTCAAAGTGAGCATTGCCCGCAAGCAGCCCATGCTGGACGCTGCCACCGGCAAGTCGGTCTGGGGGTCGCTGGGTAAGTGCCTGTACACTTGGGTTCTCTGGGAGCTGGAAGCTAGGAACCTGGACACCTGGTTTCTCTGGGTGGGGGGAAGAAGGTCTGGGGGGTGAGAGCAGAGGGGCTTGGGAGCCTGGATGCCTGAGTTCTGTGGGAGGGGATTAGGGTCTGGGGGATGGGAGCAGGGGAAACTGGGAGCCCGGACACCTCGGTTCCGTCCCCACTGAGGCTCTCTCCTGGGCACAGCCGTCAAGAACAGCGCCAAGGGCTCCCACCGCGACAAGCGCACCCAAGTCGTCTACAACGAGGACCTATTCTGACTTCCCCCCCCCTGCTTGCTGGGGTCTTGTTTGTATCTCCGTTTGCTAATTAGAGTCATTAAAGGAACCTTCCTGTGCCTCTTTCCTTGAGCTCCAATCACCTCCCCACACCCCCAGGGTTGCCAGGCCTAGTGTGCTCCGGTCTGGGAGGCTCCCTGAGCAGGGTATGGAACCCAGGCGTCCAGGCTCCCAGCCCCTACTCCCTTTCTAGACCTGGGTCAATATAGCTACTCCCCACCCCAGACCCACAGCGCCCCCCCGGGGGGATCGTCCCAGGTGTAGCACCCCCTACTGCCTCCCGCCCCCCAGCCCCACAGTGGCTCCTGGCAAAGAGACAGGGACCCGCAGCCATTTGGAAGCCAAGTTTATTCCATGTTCTCCCCCTTGGGGGGCTGGAGGCGGGGAGCTGGGGAGACTTTGAGGGGTTCAGAGGAAGCCGAGGTCCTCGTCGGCCAATATTTCCCGCAGCCAGGGCAGCACAGTGAAGAGGTTGATGTGGAAGTCACGGGCATAGGCTGGGGACCGATTCTTGCCCTGCATCTTCTGCCCTCGGCACACGTCCACCACGCCCCAGCTGATCACGCCCACCTGCGGGGTGCTGGTGTCAGCCACTGTCTTGGTAGGACCCACCAAAATGGGCCCCTTCTCCCTCCCCCGCCCATCTATCAACCTCTGGATGGTTTTAAGGGAAGCTGGGATTGGCCTCCATTTTAGTAGGACCCCCCTAAAATTTCCCCCCTCCTCCCAGCTGGGTAGTGGAGGGCATGGGGTGGGCTGCCATTTTAGTAGGACCCACCACAATGGCCCCCACTTCCCCAAGCAGTCACCACCTGGAGGGGTTTTGGGGCAGGGCTGAGTGTGGGGGGAGTGGGAGTGGGAGCAGGGTTGGGATTGGCCTCCATTTTGGTAGGACCCCCTGAAATACAGTTTTTGAGGGTGGGACTGGGGCTAGAGAATGTCAGCATCAGCTGCCATTTTGGTAGGACCCATGAAAATGGTTCCTCTCTTCTCCCTCCACCTCCCAATGAACCCCCACCTGAATGGTGTTGGTGGGGAGGGCTGGGATTGGCCTCTATTTTGGTAGGGCCCACTGACATATCCCCTTGGGGGTGTTGGCATCAGCTCCCGTATTGGTAACACCTACCAAAATGGCTCCGTCTTCCCCT